AGACTGTCAGATCTTCCTTTTTTATCCAGTTTTCCAAGTGGTGTCTTTTGATGGGGGAGTTGAGACCTTTGACATTCATTGTTAATATTGATAGATATGTGGTGATCCCTGCCATTTAGTTGTTTTTGTTGTTTAAGGGTTTAATTGTGTGAAGTCGAATCATTGCTCCTGTCTGATTGCTTGTCTTTTTTTCTCCTGTGTTTTGATACTTCCTATGCTCTCCTGGTTTTGTTTGCTTTAATCTTCTGTGTACAGAATTCTTTGTAGAGTCTTCTGTAGTGGTGGCTTGGTGGTCATGTATTGTTTTAGTTCTGTTTATTGTGGAACACTTTTATTATTCCATCAATTTTGAATGATAGTTTTGCTGGGTAGAGTATCCTAGGGCTGAAGTTATTTTTATTCAGTGCCCAAAGTACATCACTCCATGTCCTTTTTGCTTTTAAGGTTTCCATTGAGAAATTTGCTGCTATTTTGATGGGTTTACCTTTATACATTATTTGTTTTTTGTCTCTTACAACCTTCAACATCCTTTCTCTGTTCTCCATGCTTGTTGTTTTAATGATAATATGCCATTGGGAGGTTCTATTTTGGTCAACTCTGTTTGGTGTCCAGGAGGTTTCCTGTACCTGAATGGGCAAAACTTTCTCAAGATATAGGAAATTTTCTCTTACTATTTTATTGAATATGTTATATATCCCTTTTGCTTGCACTTCTCCTTCTTCAGTCCCCGTGATTCTCAGGTTTGGTCTTTTGATGTTTGATGGAGTCACTGAGTTCTTGCATATTCCTTTTACAGCCCCTGAGTTGTATAAATAGATTTCTTCTGTTTTTCTTTAATCTCTGTTTTATCTTTGAGCACTGAGATTTTGTCTTCAACTTTTTCTAGTCTGGGGGTAGTGTGATGACAGGTTGGGAGAGGTTAGGAGGGGAGGTGAAGACGGGAAAGTGTGGATGAGAAGAGGCAGTAAGACTAGTTGGAGAGGGAACAGTTGTAGCACAGGAGGAGGAGGTAAAGTGAAGGGGGTAAGAATAGGGATAAGAGAATAGTGATGGTAAAGTTAATAATACAGGAATAATAAAAATAAAAAGAAGGAAAAAAAAAAGAAACACAATAAAAAACACCAGGTTCAGGAACCACAGAATGTTCAGTTTTTTGGTAAAAGTTCCAGCGTTAGTCCTTAGGTGTCCAATCCTGGTATTGGCATACAAGCAGAAGCTCTGATGTGGTCTCACCAGATGACTGGCTTGTGTGTAGTATTTGGATCTTCTGTACACGAGATTAGTTGGAATTGTATGGTGAGTTAAGAGTGTCAGCTTGTGCAGGGTGGTCAGAGCTGTTGTTTTCACCAGGCGGCAGCTGTGTTGCCCTTCAGTTCAGCTGTTTGATCAGCTCCTCCCCCAACAAGGTGGGGCATTTCAGTTTTGAATGCTGCCCTCTGTCCCAGAGATCAGCTCCAGGATCCACCACCTGCCCTGCTATGGGTGGTTGGCCTGTCTCCCCACCCCCGCTCTCAGCCTTTGTGCTCTTCCTGATCTCTGCTGGGTGCTGGAGGCTCCTCTGGGAGGTTGGCTTGTCACCCCACCCCCCTCTCAGCCTTTGCTACCTTTCCCACATTTCTCTGAAAGTTCGGTGCTGAGAATTTTGCCCTTTCTCCACTCCCATTCTCTGGGGCAGGTTTAGCATTCCACCCCCACCTCCACTGTCAATGTTAGATTACAATTTGCTACTTACGTTTTTCAGTTTTGCTGGGTGAGGCAGTTCAGTCTGCCCAGGGGCTATGCTGGATTATTTTCCTGCAGGGTGGGTAGGGAAGTCACGCATGGTGTGTGATACTCACTTGTTTGTTCTGCAGTTTCACACAAACAGCTTTGGAGCTGACTGGCAGGGAGAAATCGTGCTGCTTTTTTTCAATGTGGTGTGGCATAGGGAAGCTTTCCATGGGCTAGTTGTCCAGGATGTTGCAGAGTTTGATTCTGATTGATGTTGTCTTCTGCTTGTTGGGAGAAAAAAGAGAGAGAGAAAAAAAAAAAGGGACAAACAGCTGGGTGGCTTTTTTTTTTTTTTTGCCAGAGCTGGACATGCCTTGCTGGCTGTACCCCACAGAATTTTCATGGCTGTTAGGTGCAATTAAAGGCTGATTTAAAAGCCAGTCTTTGCATTTTATCTGCATCGAATGTGATGGCAGTTATTATTATTTTGACTAGGAGCAATCAGAATTATTCAAGTGTAGGTCAAACATATTGAGGTTTCTAGTGTCATGGAGCTTAAGATTTTTGATTCCCTGCCATAGCCACCATTTTGGATCTAGCCATTAACTTTTAAACTAATACTGCAGCATTGGTCATTTACTATTATGCAGTAAGTTCATCACAGTATACATTTTCCTATTGATTTGCAAGAAATAGAATTTCATGATAATTTTAAACCATTATAGTCCTCCAATAGTAAGGAGTTCCCTGGGCCAAAGAGAAGGTAGAGTCCTGTTTAGCTAGAGGAATTTTGTGAAATTGTTTTGGCATCACGGTGTATACTATCATTATGGGAATAAGCAATGTGATATCTCAATTCCAGTTCCTGAAATCAATAATTTTAACAACAGTTTAACCAGATTGATCCCACCTTCTACACTGAATGGTATTTTCACTTCCCCTTGCAGTCGTCAACTACCATCACTGTAACCCTATGTGTGCCCCATTTATTCTAAAGGTATCTCATATGGAGTAGCAGACCACTTTCAGCAGAGATGAGAGAAATTAGCTTCAAAGTGCCAGTTTCATTTTTATTTTATTAACTGGTTAGATATATATTGCATTCTTTTTCTTCAGGTGATGCAGTGGGTAGCGTTGATGAGAAAAGCATGATGGCGTATTGAGGCATTTATCTACTAGTTTAAAATAAAGCCCAGAACATAGTTTTATCTTTTTAGTAAATTATAAACTAGCTGAGCCAAGACAGAGCTAAGAGGTAGAGGAACATGTATACATTCAGTCCTTGTTATACTGGAATTACATCTAGTATTCTTTGAGTGTGTTGATTCATATCTTTCCCTCATCAGAAATCAGAAGAAAGAACATGGTTAATAATCTATTAACAATTCAACCAAAATTCAGGCTCATAAACATTTAAACTGTCAAGACTCTTTTAAAACATAGCAGTGATTAGTTTTCTCTTCATTAAAGGAAATTAATCTGAAAACATCAGAATTTTTATATGAGTGAAGGGGTAAAAAAACTACTAAAGTCCATTGGTACATTCATGGTGTGCTGTTCATGTCATTCTACAGTGATACTGTGTTCTTCATCTGTGCTAATAGTCATTATCCTTTAGGGAATGAGAAGTAAGTCCTCAGCAGTGGAGCATCTAGAGAGTAACCAGAAAATTTAACCAGAATCTCCAAACAATTAGGGGAAAACAAACACCAATTGTGAAACTAGGCTGTATCAAAGAGATTTCATGAAACAGATCAGTAAAGCAGAAAAGAGTTAGGAATGTATAAGCCCCCCAAAAAACAGCATTTATTAAAGCAGATTGCAAGAATAATTCTGTCACTTTTACTTCCATGAACAAAGGATGACAAATGAGTTTGCAACATTTACTGATGAATTTGAAGCATTTTTTTCAGCATGGGGAAGTGATGTTGGGCCTACTGTATGCTTTTTGGAAGGTAAATGTGGCATTGATTTTAATGTCTTCCGAATAGACAACGATTTTGAAAGACATGTAGGTTTATAAAAAATGAAATGTATGGCAGTTTTTAAATAAAGAACATAGAAAACCAGAAGAAAGAGATGAAAGAAAGAAGAAAGAAAAGAAGGGAAGAGAGAAAGAGAAAGGAAAGGATGGAAGGAAGAGAGAGAGGAAAGAAAAAAGAAACAGGGAAAGAGAAGGAAGGAAGAGAAAAGAAAGAAGGAGACAAAGAAAGAAAGGGAAGGGAGGAAAGGAAGGAGGGACGGAAAAGCATGGTAGCTTCCTTTTTGGGTTTAAAATTGAGTGAGGGAATTTATATCCAAAGATTTTTATCCTTGTTCATATCTTGTGGTATTATGCAGATGTGGCCATTCAACATTTGAAAGCCACCATTTGGATCAAGTCCATTGTAGTTTCTTCACACTAGGAATATTGCTGAAAACTTCTAAATACCTTCTCCTATATCTGACAATAGATAGAAACAAAAATATAGGACATGGAAGGAGTGTGTTTAATTTTGTTGCACCAAGATTTAAAGAAATAGCTTTTAGTTTTTTGCTCTACTCTGGTGAAAGAAGTAGGCCCTGGATTAAGAGATGTGGGTTTTGATCACTGCTCTATTAATGATTGAGAGTTTGCAAAACCAACTCCACTGAGCCTCCCTTTCAGGTCTTATAAAATAGAGATAAAACTACCTATAGTGCCCTTTTTTCAAGGTTCTTATGCATATTAAATAAAAATATGAGATATAAACAAAGTCTAGAAGCAAATTTAAGACATTACTCACAATTTGGGTGCACTAGATAGATAAGAAGTAGATCCTAGAAATGTTGGTGTTTAAACACTGTACGAAATTGAAGCATTTTAATTAGTTTGTGAAGGTTGTGTTTCTTCCCACTGAAGAAGGAGTTGCTTAAGGGTGGTGTGTGCAGCAACTTGATAAAATTTACATGCTTGATTTTTTTATTTAGAATATTTCAGTCACTAAAAAGTAACATTGCTTTGTCTACTGTTCTAAAAAATAAGTAATTATATGTTTTTAGAAATGCTCTGAAACAGAATGTAAAAATTTAGAAATGAAGTTACTTAATGGATTAGTTTTTGTGAGTATGTTTGGTGGGCTTAACATGGATTCACTTTTAAGCACAAATACTATACAGGGAAAACCAGTATTTGAGAATCTACATTTGCTTAAAATCATAGGATTAAATAGGAAGTATGTGTGAAATACAACTTCATGTTTTATATGACTGTAGAATAAGTGAAGTTTTTAATCATTCTTTCTCTTGTATTCATTTCTCTGTGATTTTAGTCTGAATCTAAACTTTATAATGGCTCAGAAAAGGACAGTTCAACTTCAAGTAAACTCACAAAAAAAGAATCTCTTAAGGTTAGTACCTATAGTTATTTCTGAAATGTACCTTACATTGTGCTTTGCATGTACTTTGAAAGTAGGCTAATAAGAAATATATATATGTGTTCCTAAGGGAAGAATAAAATATCCAGAGAGACATTTGGACAGGCACACCTAGAAAATGTTAATATTTGTGTGGTATACTGAGGTCAAGAAGTTAGGACTGATTGATGACTGTCCCAGGGTAGGCTACATCAGGTCAGCAGACCACAGCAGGAGTTAAGGACATGTTATCTCTTCACAGACATACCAGAGCCAAGTAGGCATAGCACTGTGCTGTGGAACACCTGATGGGACTCTGGCACCCACTGAAATTACAGTTTGCTCACTACGAGGCCAACAACTAAACATCCAGATTACTAATTTCTGTCTACAAATATGTAGTATTGGACTGGGGGATTGGCTCCGTGGTAGAGTACTTGCCTAGCAAGTGTGAAACCAAATTCAAACCCCAGTACTGAAGGGAAAGAAGGAGAAAGGGAAAAGAGGGAGGGAGAGAGGAATTGAAGGAGGAGGGAAGGAAACTTTTTACTGGCTCTGGTCCCTGTCTAGTCTGTTTTACCCATCTGTGTTCCATGCCTGATCCTGTATCCATTTGCACTTAAAATTTCATATTAAATTTGTTAATTTAGAAATGCATATAAGACCAAAAGTCTAAAGTTTTGGGGGTGTGGAATCACTAAAATTTTATTATTTGTATGTAGTTCTTTTCATTAAATACAACTTTTCTGGTGAAAGACTTTGTGCTATCATCTTTTAAAAATGTAAACCCTAATAGGTTTTTAGAATCAAGGAAAAGAGCAAAGACTTCCATTTGCAAACAATTGAAGCATTGCTTGTGATAGTCATGTACTAAGAGCTAGCCAGTAAGAGCTAGCCAGGTGTGGTGACTCATGCCTGTAATCCCAACTACTTGAGAAGCAGAAATTGGAAAAATTGCTGTTAGAGGCCATTCCATTCAAAAACAAGGTTAGTAAGACCACATCTCAATCAATAAACTGGGAGTGGTGGCATGTATCTATAATCCCAACTATACAAGAAGCCATAGGTAAGAGAATCTCAATCTGAGGCAGCTCCAGGCAAAAATGGGAGATTCTTCCTGAAAAATAACTAAGTAAAAGCAAAAAACAAAACGAGGAACAGAGTAGATCTCTGTCAGTAAGAGAATTCATTAGAAAAAATGATGGAGACAATATAGCCTAGTGGTTAAGAACAAGTCTGTGTTCTGACAACTTTCTAACTGTATGATTCTGGGAAAATTACTCTCTCTGCCTCAGTTTTTTCATCTGTAACACAAGCTTCATAATAATTCTACCTCAAAAGGTTATTGTGATGATTAAGTAAGGTAGCTGTAATACAAGTAAGGGCCTAGAACAATGACTGATTCACAGAATGCACTCAGTCTTAATTCTCTCATTATTTTATTCATATTAGGAATCCTATGGAGCAGTTAAAAAAATAAAATAAAATAGATGTGGAAACTCTCAAAACTATTGAATGGGAGAATTTTTATGTGTTTAACAAAACATAAAGTATGTATTTCTATAGCTTGTGTACATAGGAAAGGTCTAAAAGGATAATGTTTTCCTGAAGGATATTGATAAATTACTGAAAAAGATACAGAGAACAAGCCTAGTGAACAGATAAACTAGATTCTAACATAGGTTGTCAAAGAATTCCTCCTAACTACGAAACAACCAACTGAATATACTATAATTTTATCCTAAAATGCTAAAATTCCAAAGAAGTTTAAAATATTCTATAAATCAAAAAAACTTGAAAAGAATTTGCTTTTTACTAAGTTTTTATTTTTCTATTTATATAAAATAGGTGCAAAAGAAAAATTACCGAGAAGAAAAGAAAAGAGCCACAAAAGAGTTGCTCAGTACAATCACAGATCCTTCTGTTATTGTTATGGCTGATTGGTTGAAGGTCAGTGTGTGTTGAGTCCTGAATTCTGATTATAGATGTTTACCACTGGAATGGGAAAGCCTGGGGTGTACTAAAGCCCACAAGACAAAAACAACTAGAATTACTGTTTTCTACTGGCAAGGAAACTTACCAGTTGTTTTCTTAGAGGTTCTATGTTCCAGTTGAACAGGGAGAAGGAATTTAATGTCTCTCTTTCAGAAAATCTTTTAAATTGTGTGATATTATGTTATATAATACAGCTCATGGTAAAAAAAATACTTTGCTTACTATTCAAATTATCATTTAGTAGTATTGAAGATTTTGTGTATGCATCATTAAGAAAAAATGATAAAACTAATAAAAGTTACCTTCTGAAAAGCATTAATTATCAGACAGATACACATATTGCTATTTCCATACCCTATTGTTTTGGCAACTTTTTCGTATTTTTATTACCTTTTCTCTAGTCCTAGACACTCTGTATTCGTTCTCATTCTTTTCTGAGAGATAGCTTGTAGGAATCTTTCAGCCAGTCCTAATTTTAAGAGTGAACTTATAAGACCCTGCCTGACTCTTTAATAAAAAGTTTTAGTACCTGGCATTCATTCCAAGAATCACCACAGCCCTGAAGGGTTTCTATTTTGCTCAACAGTTGGTTAAGACCTCAGATCTAATAACCCTTATGAGATCTGTAATACAAGTTCTCTCACAAAAATGGAAGTCTAATGATGATTGCTGTGTTAGTAACTTTTTTTTTTTAATCACTGTGACAAAAGACCTAAGAAAACAATTAAAGAGAGGAAAGATTTATTTTGGCTCCTAGTTTCAGAGGTCTTTGGTAGCTAACCAAGGCCAGTTGGCTCCACTGCTTTTAGGTCTATAGTAAGGCAGAAACATCATGGCATGATAGAGGAAAGCTGCCCAGGAAGCAGAGACAGAGAAAGGGGAAGGAGCAGAGACAAGGTATATCTTTCCAGAGCACACCCCCAGTAGCATACTTACTGTAATTAGGCCCCACCTCCTAGTTTCTACCACCTCCCAGTAATGCCATCATATTATGAATCCATGGAGGTATTAATCCATTGACAAGGTTAGAGCCTCAGGATCCACACACTTCCCAAAAGCCCATCAGATGGTAGCCTGAGCCACCTTTGGTGGCTCATGAAGCACATGAGACTTCAAGGTACATTTCATATTCAAACCATAACAGTTGCCTGATGATTCAAGTAATGCTTGAGGCATCACCAGTCTTGTGCTAAAACATATCTTCTGACTGACTTTGGCCCTACTTAGAAGTATATTCATTCCTTGTTTTTTCAGTCAAAACTACCCTCTATAAGTCTCCAGCACATTACCTGGCTGGCTTTTTAACTTTACCTTCATTCTTACAATTCCCTCTACATCATATTCTGTTGTCATATCTCTGAGGTCTAGAATATTATCTCAGGATAATTCTCTTCCTTTTGCTTCTCTTTCTTGCCAACTTTTTTTATGTATATATATATATATACCTTTTCTTAAATATTTTTCTCTTTTCTTTATAGCTGGCTCTAAACTCCCCCTTTCTGAATTTTTCTGGTTTAGAGTTACTGTGGTATGCCTGTTGAGGGATTAGGGACCCCTACAATTATTTTACAATTCATGAAGTACATTGAGAGAATAGCTATTTTAAGTAAATGAAAGTGAAGATAATTCCTATTTTAATCTAAATATTAGCTTCCTTTTCAGTGTTATGAATTCAGTGAGTTGCCTCAAAATAATTTTAATAAATTGTGAAAATAGAAAATGACAGGAAAAAGTAGTTATAGACTTGTTGACAAAGCAGTAAACCCTATCATAAGGAACATTTTATGAAAAGATGTATTTAACTTGTGCTTTGAAATTTCCTTCAAGAAATTTATATAGCATACCTTATGTAATTACTAAGAATAAAGTAAATTAGGGATGGCAATTTGAAGGATTAGAGGAGGTTATTTTCTTTTCCTATCATTCACCAAATATTTAGGGAATGTCTGGCATGTGCCAGTAGTGTTTTCAACACTGCTGATGTGATGGTGAGGGGGTACTATTAGAAAAGGCAGAATAATCATTTACTCACACAAATAAAATTACAGCTGTAATAAATGGCCCCAGGGTAATTTGAGAAAAGACAGAATAATCATTTACTCACATAAATAAAATTACAGCTATAATAAATGGCCCCTGTCCTGATCAGGGAGGATAGGAAAACTATTCTACTTACTTAGTACACTTTGAAGCTATTGGCCTAGTCTTCCATGAAAATTTTAAGGTTTCTTAGAAGTGGGATCTATATTATTTTCACATCCATTTGTAGTGCTTGCCAGGCAAATAGTAGTAGCCTTAAAAAATGCCTATTAAGTCTGAAATACAGGTTTGATGAAAACTTAAAATATCCATTATTCAGTTTGTATCTTCTGGACCAGAAAGAGAAAAACAGCTGATATTTTTTAAAATATATCTTTCTATAGATTCGTGGTACTCTAAAGAGCTGGACCAAGTTGTGGTGTGTGTTGAAACCTGGGGTGCTACTGATCTATAAAACCCAAAAAAATGGCCAATGGGTTGGAACAGTCCTTCTGAATGCCTGTGAAATTATTGAGCGTCCATCAAAAAAGGATGGCTTTTGTTTTAAACTCTTCCATCCTTTGGAGCAGTCTATTTGGGCAGTGAAGGTATGTAAATACTTGTCAAGGTAAAAGGTAAAGATGACAATCTGTGAGTATAATTAAGACAAATCAAATGATTTCTGTCCTCTGCCAGGACTCATAAATTTCTTTCTGTTTTCAAGAGCATTATCCCTCTTTCTGTTTCTCCTTACAATAAAATGTACACCAAAAGGCTTTATTTGCTTTTAAGATTGAACTTAAGTAATTTTTCCTGGACCTATTTTCCAAGCTTATATTTCATTTTACTATCTCTTTCATCCTTGAGGATATGACTTATACTGTTTTTTGTCTTCAATTTGTAATTACTAATTCTTGTGTAATACTGTGTAATTTTTACTGTTTTTTTTTCTCTCCATCAGAATGGTAAGGTCACCTAAAGCAGAAACTGCCATTTGTTTTTCTGATGCCACTTATTCCTATGTAGACACAAATGTGTAATGGGAAACCTAGAAGCAGAAACAGTCTTACTTACTCTTGAGAGAGAGAGAGCTTTCTTTGAAGATAAAGCTTAGCCCTTTAAAGAATTACTTTGGTCATTTCTGTGCGGTAAAAAGCATAAATAAACAGGAAAATAGAAATGCCTGTGATTAACAGTCAAGGAATTCTACAAACAGTAGACATGCAGTACAAACTGATCAAATCAATGAGTCTAGTTTCAAGCTTTTACAAAATGATCATTGCTTTAGTGTCTGGGAAGGTCAACTATCGTTGAATCAAGGGTTTAAAACTCTTCCTTTTAGGAAAATCGCCTAAAGGAGATTAAGAGTTAACTAAAAATAGCTTCAGCTTCTGTATATATAAACATATTGTTTAAATAGACAATATTCATGCACCCAGTGAAAGAACTGGACTTTTTATGTTTATTGTAGTAGTCTAGAGTCACTGCAGGAATAGATTTAGGATTACAGAATTGGTTCCATTCTGGGATTAGGTACCTTCCACAAGGAAACAATTTAACCCATAGAACTTCTAGTATTTTACATGGAATCTGTTATTCTATTATTTAGCCTTCATACCTATCAGAAGGATCACTTTCTTACCATTGTACAGATGAAAGATTGAATCCTAAACAAACTGCCTAAGTAATTTTTCTCATAAGGATCCAAGATTAAAACCCAGGAAGTCTGGTTCTCTGTTCTACTCTATACTGGTTCTAGGCACTGGCCAATAAATTATAAGGGTATTTGAAAGTGCCTAGGTATTTAAGTATTTGTTTAAGCTGTATTCATTTTTTCATGCTTTTCATTTGGAATCATCTTTACTTTCTAATGTTTATTCTTAGAATCCATTTTATTCTTCAACTTGATAACCTTAAAGAAATTTTGTAATGTAAGTTTTAAAATTATGCTCATGTCAAAAATGTACTGCAAGGGCTGGTGGAGTGCCTCAAGTAGCAAAGCGCCTGCCTAGCAAGCATGAGGCCCTGAGTTCAAAACCCAGTACCATCAAAAAATAAAACAAAAAAAATGTAATGCAAATTCAATGCTTAGTTTTATTTCCATATGAGAACTGTGTACAACTAAGTTTAGCCTTGGTGATACTAATTACTTGTTGGTGTTACATACTTTTAAAACAAATAACCCCAGCCAACAACAAAATTCCTTTTTCTTTCCTGTTTCTGGAAAAATAAAATTGGTTCTTATAGTTGGTTTTAAAAACAAGTATATCATAACGTATACACAAAAGCAAACATATACTCATCCACATGTAGAATGTGTTTGTAATAGTGGAACTATACTATGGAACTCAGGGAAGGAGGGAAAGGAAAAGAGATAGTCAACAATATTGAAATACTTCACATCTGTGCAGATAGAGGACATAACAATATGTAGGGAAAGCTGCCAAATAAGGGGGAGGGGATGAAATGGAAGGGTAAGGGAGAGGAATAGAGGGGATTGAACTGACCAAAGTAAAGCATATTCACAGCTGGAGTACATTGAGAAACTCCTTTGCACATTGACTTTGGAGTTAATAATGAGAGATAAGAATGTGTGGGGAGAGGGGTGAATGGAGGTGGTGAAGATGAAGGAACAGGGTGTATGTGTTTCATATACATAAAGGAAATAGAACAGTGATACCTTTTGTAATTACTTTAAGTGGGATGGAGAAGGCAAGACAGGGATGGTGGTGGAGGGGGTGATCTAACTAGTGTACAGTGTAAGGCTATTCAGAAGTATAACAAATCCCATGGCATATATTGAATATATGCTAATAAAAATGAAAAAAAGTACATCATTGGTTATAGAATGAAAGGGTTTATTTTTCCCTTGACCTAGCCAAAATTCAATTGTCTTTTTCTTGTGAATTATATTTCCAGGTGTTTAAACTTCTGGAAATTTAGTATTTCTTATCTAATAGGATCTATGGAATGAAAATTTTCTGTTATTATTAGGGCTGTAATCCTAGCTACTAGGAAGTTGGAGATTGGGAGGATCATGGTTCAAGGCCAGCCCAGGCAAAAAGCTCATGAGAGCCCATCTCAACCAATTTTTTAAAAATGCTGGGTGCAGTGGCATGTATCTATTATCCCAGCTACGCAGAAAACATAAATAGGGGATCACAGTCCAGGCATAAATCCAGGACCCCATTTGAAAATAACTACAGCAAAAAGGGCTAGTGGTATGGCTCAAGTGGTAGAGCACCTGCTTAGCAACTTCAAGGCCCTAAGTTCAAACCCTAGTACCACCTCCAAAATAAATAAATAAATAAGTAAATAAAATTGTATCTAGCATGGTAAATTTTAGGTTTTCTTTAATATATGAGCGCTATGTAGAGATAATCATCACTTGCTCAGTTTTCTGTTGAGGTATATTTGTTGAAAAAGCAAATTTTCTTTAATACATTTTCATTCTCAAGAAAGAGGAAATTGAAGCTTGTTGATTTTAAATTATAATCCATGCCTGATTTAACTCATGTCTGATCCAGATACTAGTAGGTAATATAAAGGTGATTATTCTACACTGTCATTTATTTTGTTAAGGGTCCAAAAGGTGAAGCAGTTGGCTCCATAACTCAGCCCTTACCTAGCAGTTATTTGATCATCCGAGCTACTTCAGAATCAGACGGTAAATATACTTTTTAATGAGTTGGTTTTCAGTTTTAAGGATTCATTTTATGTACCACTTTGTATCATCCTTGGAGAAATTCTGTTTTTAGTGTGACACCTGCAGCAGAAACATTGTAATCATAAATTGCTTAGAACACTAAATATATTATTAACTTCATAGACAAATAGAAGTCTGATAGGAAGGAAGCATTATAACTAAGTGATATGTTAGCAGCTCAGTTTTCTTCCATTGACATTTTCAACTTGTTAGTGTTCTTTGTAGGAACTCATTAAGTTTTATCATTTTAGAGATACATTTAATTCTTATATTTTATCATTAAATGTTAGCACTTATGAAACATATACACTGTTTTGGTTTTATTTTGCATAAAAAAGCATTAAAAGTACAAAATTCTTTATTCCATATGGAACTTGATCACTAATTCACTGGGCAAATATGGGAAGGCAAAACTTATTTATATGAAAGCAAAGTAACCTTAAAACTTTAATAGCTGCAATAGATTTCTTCTTTACTTTCATGTTTCATACTTTAGATTAGCTTGATGTAGAGAATTTTATAACTTCTGAAGTTTACTTTTACCAGCAGATTATTTTTTAAATTGAAATACAGGCATGAGCTTTTACTATAAAATGTTTTACATGGCTGATATTTCCATCAGATTTTGAAACAAATATATATGAATTTTAAGGATACTTAAATATATATGAACATTTTTCTTCTAAATTTTAATATAAAAATAAGGCTATTAATGTTTCTCTTAACAAGTATGCCAGTTAATGAATGCATTATTTTTCTGACTTAAAAATTTTCATGTTAAGCAAAATAAGCCAGACTAAGAAAGTATCACATATTTACTCTCATGTGACTCTAGAGTTAAATAAATAAATACATGAAAGTAGAAGAGAGCTATTAGGGAAGAGGAATGGAACCAGGGGGCAAGAGAGGGAAATGGAGAGGGGATGCTATTAAAATACATTAAATGCATATATGAAAATGTCATTGTGAAACCCACAATTAATACATGCTAATAAAAATGTTCATAAATGTAAGTACAATGGCTGCTAAGCCCAGGAGTTAGAAAGTTTGTTTATAGTAGAAATATCCCTTTCAGTATACTCTGTATCTTGTGTGATACCTTCAAATTATACTGCATATTAATGTTATAAAGTTCATTTTGTTTTATATTGTGTATACTTGCTAATATATGTTGTATACTATTCATTTTTCTGTGGCTTCTAGACACTTAGTATGTAACAAGCATTGTAAAACAGAGACTGCATTAAGAAATACTATCAGGATTTTATGTTCAAATAAACTTTTCTAGTGCTTGTTTCTCAAAGAAATAATAGTATGTTTAAATGTAGCAGGGCTAAATTAAAATGAATGCTAGTTTCATAAATGTTCCTGCTTATAAATCTGTGTTCTAGGAAGATGCTGGATGGATGCTTTAGAGTTGGCTTTAAAATGTTCTAGTCTGCTTAAACGTACAATGATTAGAGAAGGAAAGGAACATGACCTGAGTATTTCATCAGATAGCACACATGTGACTTTGTATGGCTTATTACGTGCTAACAACCTCCACAGTGGTGACAATTTCCAGTAAGTAGATACTGCTATACATTTACTAATGATATCAGAGACCATGCTGTTCACTAGGTTAGTTGTCAGTTCTAGTATTTTACTAATGTATGTAAGGTTGAAATTTGCCTATCTTCTCATCAGATAGCCTAAAGCCTTTAAACTTTATGTAGTATCATTAGGCATAGGGATTTATTTCCTTTACTCTCTTTCCTGAATACAACCATGTTAACAATCCACCTCATCTTTGTTAGTGGTGTGTTTCCCATTAAGAATGATTCCTACTTCTTACTGCTCTTTTCTCTTACAGTCCTATGTATATTTGAAGATCAGTTTCAAGTATTACATTATATGTGAAGCTTTTCCTGCCTCATAGCAATGAGATGGAATCTGTCTTTCTACTGCTGTTTTTTGTAATGCGACTGTACTTACTCCCCATTTGTTTTTTGTGGAATTCTCATATATTAAGTGTTTTGAGTTGGGACTCTATCCAGTTTGTGATTTTATCTCCTGAAGCATTCATTGTAGTTAATAATAAAAAATTATTTCTCCAGAGAAACGGCAGCAGTGTAAAGACTTTGTTAAAGTGCTGATCTCTTTGTTGCTTTATAGGAAAAACACTAGACTTCTTTTTCTTCCTTTCTCTATCTCTCAACTTCTGCTGTGCAGTCACATAACTCATCACCATTAAGCTGCTCTTTTAGAGGTTAGACAGGTTGTTGCTGTGTTCTCTGTGTAACATGAGCTGAACATTTTTTTTCCTCTCATTTTGGTCAACGTTGCTTTTTTGAATTATTATTTATTTATTACTTTCTTTAAAATCTCCATTACCTGACCTTTTGCATCCTCCTTTGCAGACCTGCAATCTGGAGGTTTATTTTAATCCCAAGTATCTAAAAAAGAATATGATGAGGCAAGTGATAAAGAAATGGGAATTTGTTAGGACCTCTTCCCAAAATTTCCCCCATTTTTACAGATCATTTACACTAACTGCTTCAAGTAAAAGTAGAGGGAATATAGCAGAATTTATCAGTTTTACGCTACAGGCTTATTTTCCTAAGCTGAAACACTGAAGTAGAATATTACTGTGTAACTCATGCTGACCCCAGACTCATGCTCCTCCTGCCTCAGCCCCCCATATGCTGAAATTGCAAGGGTACTCACCATGCCCAGTGAACCTGATGATCTTGACTTACATGTTTTCTTCAAACAACACAAGTGACAGTTGATTTTGCTTCAAGTGATAATGTTTGTAAAACTAAGGGGGAAAAAAATCTAGCCAAGGAGTAGTATACAAATTTTAGTTTTGGGAAGATTTTAGCCCCAAGAGTAGAGACACAAAGAGTTTAGATTGTCATCTTTTAATATTTCCCTGGGTTTTTATTTAACTTCTTCATGCCTCTATTTACTAATCTTTAAAATAATAGTATAGGAAATGTTCAGGATTAAATGAGTTAAACTATACAAAACAGTTTTAGAATAGTACACAGCACACAGTAAATTCACAATAAATGTTACTTATTATTTTAATTTACAGATTAGTATTCTTAACTCCCTAATAATTCTCTTAAGGTTAAATGATAGTGAAATTGAACGACAGCATTTTAAAGACCAAGATATGTATTCTGATAAGTCTGATAAAGAAAATGATCAAGAGCATGATGAGTCAGACAATGAGGTACTGGGGAAAAGTGAAGAAAGTGACACAGATACATCAGAAAGACAAGATGACTCATATATTGAACCTGAGCCTGTGGAGCCTTTAAAGGAGACCACTTACACTGAACAGAGCCATGAAGAACTTGGAGAGGTAAGGCCATTTTCAGAGATTCTGATTTTAGTAATTCTGAGAAATTTCCAAATGTAATTATAGAGATTATTTGTTTGACCTATTGTTTATCTTCTTAAAAGAGAATATTTATATGTTACCTGTTTTATTTTAAAAGTTGCATACATAAAATATATCAGGATTTATAAACAACTAAACACATATACTTGCACAAACTTGGAAACATAGTGTATTACCAATATACTCTATTAAGGTTAAAAGTTTACATTTTCTTTCAAGTTTGCTTTTAAAATAGGATACTGTTAAATGTCATCGCCAGATGCAAAGTAAATTGCAAGCAAACATAAGTTTACAACTGTTGTGTTATTGCCAGTGCATAAAAGTAGATACAGTATAAAGTAGTTGGATAAAATGTTTTTCATAGTGCATCTTTTACATATATTGCTCACTTTGATGTTGCTTGCTGCTCCCTTTTTTACTTGTTTTTTTAGCTATAGATTTTATTCATTACCGAAAGGGTTATTTCCACATTTTAAGAATGCTTGGAAGCTAGGCAGCAGTGGTTCACACCTATAATCCTAGCTACTTGGGAGGCTGATATCAGGAAGATCACAGTTCTAGGCCAGCTCAGGCAAAAAGTTAGCAAGACCCCCCCTATCTCAACCAAATAGCTGGATGCAGTAGTGTGTGTCTGTCATCCCACCAATGGTGGACAGCTCAAAATAGAATTGTAGTTCAAGCTGGCCTGGGCAAAAAGCAAGACCTATCTCAAAAGTAACCAGAGCAAAGAGGGCTGGAGACATGGCTCAAACAGTAAAGTGTCTGCCTAGCAAGAGATAAGCATTGAGTTCAAACCCCAGTACTGCAAAAAAAATGAAAGGGAGGGAGGGGGAAGAGGGGAGGAGGAGAGAAAGAGGGAGGAAGGAGAAAGGGAGACAGGGAGGAAGACATACTTGGGGTACCTCTGGAAAGAATTCATATATTCAACATTAACTGTTTTGTCTGTATATCTATGTGTCTGAAATATATTTCAGTATGTTTTATTAATCACTAAAGGCAGGTGAGGCTTCTCAAACAGAAACTGTGTCTGAAGAAAACAAAAGCCTTATCTGGACACTGCTGAAACAAGTTCGTCCAGGCATGGACCTGTCCAGGGTGGTTCTGCCTACATTTATTTTGGAACCCCGTTCTTTCTTGGATAAACTTTCAGATTACTACTATCATGCAGATTTCCTGTCTGAGTAAGTATATTCTTATTTCTTAAAATAGAAGATAGTTCATGATTTTAGAGATTCTCAAGACTGCTACTTTCAATGATTATGCCTTTCCAAAGTTAGACTGCAATGAGACATCACTCTCTTCTCAACCACTTCTGTAGTCAACCTTAATAGCACACTTTAAAGTTTGCTACAGTGTTGCCATTCAAAGTAGAATTACTAGATCATAAGCTTGAGGAGGATAGGATTCCTGCCCCTCTTGGACCACACTGTTGTGACAGGCTCTTCCATCTGTCCACTAACCTAACACTGGAGGAGGTGGCTAAAATTGGTCTTCCCCTATCTATGTCCTCCTTCATCCCACCCTTAGGGTTTGTGTTTGTCTCTGCATGCTTGTGAGACCTGTGTAACACTCACAGCTAAACTCATCTGCTGGTTGCTGGTGTTTAGTATAAATCCCTTCTCTGGTCTTTGCTTTTCCTCTGATGCTGTAAACTGATCCCAAGTATAAAAGAAGGCAGGGAAGGAAATGTCCACTTCTGTCCCAAGAATTGTTTGTAGAACCAGTGGTACACTTTGTGAAGAACAACAGTTTTACGCTCTCTATTGCACATGTTACCTATTGTCCCCATTCCAGAAGGGTGGTGTTTCAAAGCACTGTGTTGTCTATAGTGCTGACTAGTGGGCCTATGACTTGATTTTTAGAGTCCGCATCAGTATTTGTTTTCAGTTTCTGTTTATTAGTTATGTTAGTGAACATAGCAGGAAAAAAAATCCTAAACTGGGTCAAAGATAATTGTGGAAAAATTTTACAGCTTTTATGATAGATAAGGTGTTAATCTCCCTAAAGGGAAAAGTATCCTTAGAAATTTAATGGAAATGTTCAACAGCCTATAGAGAAAGGAGTAGGAGAAATGATCATTTCAAAAACAAAGAACTAGAAACAACCCTTAAAAACATGTCAGACTTGTGCAAAATAAGAAAAGTTAGATTCAAACTAAAGGAAGATACTGTCCTTCATTCATCACATTGACAAAAAGTCCAAAGGCTTTTATTACACTACTTCTGCTGTCTTCTATAGTTCATTATCTTATTTGTCTAGAAATTAATTTTTCTCAGAATATTAAGGCAGGTTCCTGTGAATCATATGATCTTCTGGAGTAATGTCCATTTTCATAAATGAAAAGGTTATACTTTGGTTGGCCACCTCTAATCCCAGCATTTGGGTTATAAAGCAGAAGGATCATGAGTTCAAGGATAGCCTGTGCTACAAAAAAAGAAGAGAGGGAGAGAAAAAGGAAGGGAGAGAGGGAGGGAGAAAGAAAGGAAGAGAGTGAGGAATGCGGGGAGGGAAGAAGGTAAAGTTGTATTTTTCTGACAACACACATGTTGCCAAGGCTCTGTGAGGCAATAAGCATTCTCATACATCCTATGAGCAATATTGAAGATAAAATGTCAGTATTTTCCAAAGATACAAATGCATTCATGCTTTGATCCATTAGTGCTGCTTCTGTAACTCCTACATATATAAACCTTACATATCCCAAATGACATACAATCAGATTGTTGCAGAGGGTTTGTAACATTAGCTATAGCTCAAGTGTCCAGCCATCATTGACTAGTTAAATAATACACAGTATATCTACTTATACGAGGGAACCTCTGTATACTGATACAGAGAGACCTCCAGAAAAGTGGATATATTATTTGCTACCTCTTTTTTTTTTTTTAAGAAAAACAGGACTATTTATATTTGCTTACTTATGCTTAAAGAAAACTTTAAATAAACCCTTTAAAGGGTTGGGGATGTAGCTCAGTGTTAGAGAGCCTGCCTAGCATGCACAAGGCCCTAGGTTCACTTCCTAGCATTGTTAAAAAAAAAAAAATTAATAAAACTTCCTGTAGGAGATAAGAAGCAACAGTGTGGAAAAATGGAGCAGTATTGTATGTCACTGTTTACTTTGGTGGTATATGTTGAAGACATGTATACTTTATGAACTATATACACATGTAAATTTCAAATAAAATTTCATAGAAAGAGAATTTAAACCAAATAGAGAGCAATTAGAGAATTGCTGAAGTATAACCTTTCAACTTAACACATTTGTTAGTAAGCCCAGGCCTACTCTCTGCCATCTAATATCTCATCTTCAGAAATCTCCACATTGGACTATCAGACATGCTTGTGAAACACAAATGCCTTTTTTAAAAAAAATAATAATAATGGCATAAATAAATAATAGCTACCTTACAAGCAAAAAACAATAAGACAACCTAACAAGAGAATTTACTTCTAATATTCACAATCAATGTTTTGCAACATTTACAATGGCCAAATGGTGTGGGGGGGAGCATCTGAGTCATGGCTCCTACAAATTTTTTCTACACAGTGAAGATTACTTTTTAATTATTTGTTACACTGATAACTTGTTCACTCTGAAAAATCAGTTGGTAGCACATAGAGGAAGGATAAAGTGGGTAAAATCTTTTCAAAATTATTTTAACTTTTCCATACTTATAATTTGAAATGTCTGCATTTTGTAGTAGGGATTGCAAACCCATACAGTCCTACAATCTGGGAGGTAAATGGGGGAGGCTGACATCACTGATAATTATCACCTAATGAGAATACGCTCAACCAAGTGAACACTGGCCCTTCACTGGCATGTGGGCCAAGACCTCTAACAAGGTTGTTAATGGGGGACTGCTTGGCCACTGCTCAGCATTGCAATTGCTAGTTGTTGTGCCATAATCGAGTCTCAAAACTCTGTGTGTATGTGTTTTTAATTTAAAAAAAATTTTTTTTTACAGTCCTGCGTTTGAACTTGGGGCCTCATGCCTGCTCAGCAGGTACTCAACCACTTGAGCCACACCTTAAGCCTATCTTTTAAGTCACACATTTCTCACAGAACCCCTCACTATATCTCAGGTTTGGAGAACTCCACTTGAGAACTCAAGCTTGGTTTGGAGAGTTTCCATAAACTGCTTTACCAAAGACCTGGACAGTGTATCAAAAAATAGGAAAATTAAGGGGAGTGACCAGATTAAGAAAAAGGACTCTTGGAAATTCATTTGCATAGTTGTTTGTCAATATGAATTATATTTTACAATCATAGCATACTTAGTTATTTTAAGTATTATAGAGGATTTGTGACATATCCTACACAATTTTTATGTTTATCATTTTACTTTTCAGGGCTGCTCTTGAGGAAAATCCTTATTTCCGTTTGAAGAAAGTAGTGAAATGGTATTTGTCAGGATTCTATAAAAAGCCAAAGGTAATGTTTATATTTTACTTTTTTTTTTTTTAATTTAATTTTTATTTTATTCATATGTGCACACAATGTTTGGGTCATTTCTCCCCCCTTACCCCCACCCCCTCCTTTACCACCCCCCCAGCTACCAGGCAGAAACTATTTTGCCCTTCTCTCTAATTTTGTTGAAGAGAGAGTATAAGCAATAATAGGAAGGAACAAGGGTTTTTGCTAGTTGAGATAAGGATAGCTATACAGGGAGTTGACTCACATTGATTTCCTGTGCATGTGTGTTACCTTCTAGATTAATTCTTTTTTTTTTTTTCATTTTTCTTTTATTATTCATATGTGCATACAAGGCTTGGTTCATTTCTCCCCCCTGCCCCCACCCCCTCCCTTACCACCCACTCCGCCCCCTCCCTCTCCCCCCCAATACCCAGCAGAAACTATTTTGCCCTTATTTCTAATTTTGTTGTAGAGAGAGTATAAGCAATAATAGGAAGGAACAAGGGTTTTTGCTGGTTGAGATAAGGATAGCTATACAGGGCATTGACTCACATTGATTTCCTGTGCGTGGGTGTTACCTTCTAGGTTAATTCTTTTTCATCTAAAGTATTTTATGAGCTCCGTATTTTTAATATGTAATCTTTAGATTCTTTATTGATAGTTACTAGCAAAATTTTAAAATTCTTGATTATTTAGATCTGTATTTTAATTGGAGTCATGTATAGTTTTCATGTAAATTTCATTTACTGTGAAATTTTACAAAGATACCTTGTTTATAAAGAAGCTTCTTTTAACTATTTTGAGTCTTCTGTATTTGTAACTTGAAACTTGTATGTTTTTTACTAGGGACTAAAGAAACCTTATAATCCTATACTTGGTGAGACTTTCCGTTGTTTATGGATTCATCCAAGAACAAACAGCAAAACTTTTTATATCGCTGAACAGGTATTAGAAATGCATGTCACAGAAACAAAACTGTACTGGAAGTTGTTGGGGTATTTTTACAGAAAATATTAACTGAGTTAACTCTCTGTCATTTAACCTTTCATATTAGCAAATGTTTGTATGTGTATGCATAAAACCTTTTAGTATTAAATACGACTAAATGCCATGCTCTCAAGCATTACTTTATAGTCATGGAATCCTTTGACCAAAAAGAAATATTTTTTTCTCCTCTACCTCACCATCCACCCTTTTTATTTATTTTTGTCCTAGTTCAGGTTTCCAAAATAGCTTTTTGATCATGCTCAAAATTCTTCAGTAGTTCTGTAGACCCAAAATAAGATTTATTCCAGTTTCTCTGGCATTCAGAGTCCTCTGGCTTTCTTCTAAATTGCTCTCAAATGCCTTTCAAAAAAAAAAAAAAAAGCCTTTCTAGGTAGTCAGACCTGTGCATTCACAAGCAACCTGATCTTGCACTTTTTCTTGCATCATTATTTTTAAATTTAATTCCTTCACTCAGTATTTCTCCTCAACCATTCTTCATCTAAACAAACCCTGACTTGCTTATTCTTCACTGTCTAGATAACTGCATCTCTCAGGGTCTGCCCCTTCTCAAATGTCTGTATTATTTTTTTGTGATTATCCATTAAGTGGTTATTTTAACACTTGTACTATTTACGTCATTATAGAACATTTTACTAGTTGAATTATTACTCCTTGAAGACACCTTTTTCTGGAGGCATAGTAGGCAGTCAGAAAATAATTCTTAGTTTTTAAACATGGATTAAGTTAGATTTATATACATCTGTTTTCATGGTTCTCCATCTTCTCCCTTATGTGTACAAACCTGAGGAATAATGATATTCCCCTTCAGTAACAATGGCTCCTGATAATTCTCACCTTCTGAAATCCTTCCCTTTGCCCTAGAAATTTTGTTATACTCCTCAAGTTGAAAACAGTTATCTATGTCAATTTAAAAAAAAAAAAGTGATTATACTACCTTTCATTTTTAACACCGTAATTCTTCACAAAATTGAAAAGTTTCAGAAAAGTTTAAATAATTTTAGCTTTGTGTCATTTCAGAAAACCTAAGATGTAAATATATTGAGAACATTAAATTATTAAAACATTTTCCATAGCTTCTCTATTCTGTTATGTTCAATAATGAAGAATAACTAAGAATGTTAGTTACTACTTCTGTGTAACAGATTACTGACAAATATCTCATATAATGAGGTTCAGGAATCTGAAGCTGCTTACTGGCGTGCTTCTGGATCAGGATCTCTTTTGGAGTTGCAGTCAGGATGTCAGCCAGTTTTACAATCATCTGCAGACTTAACTGACTAAAAGATTCATTTTCAAGCTCATCCCACGGCTGTTGGAAAGAGAATTCAATTCCTTAGTACATGGGTCTCTCCAGGACTTTTCACAACATGGAGAGTGGCTTCTCAGAGCCAGTGGAACTCAGGGGAACCTACTGACCCTCCCCAAGATGGAAACTATAACCTGAAGTGAAAAATGATACACTGTCATTTCTGCACAAACACTTCTTGGTTCAGTGAAAGTGCCTACCTTCAGGTGTGAAAACCAGGAAGTGGATTTCCTTGGGAGATAGTAAACTGGTTACCATAATCATCAACATTTAATTTTATTACTTACCAAATGTTTCTCCTTACTTGTTATAATACTTGAACTTTTGATAATAGCGCAGCAATGTGTTTATCTTCTTACATTTTATATTTTCTCCTGTGTTCAATAGGTATCCCATCATCCACCAATATCTGCCTTTTATGTTAGTAACCGAAAAGATGGATTTTGCCTTAGTGGTAGTATCCTGGCCAAGTCTAAGTTTTATGGTGAGTTTCCCCATCCTACCCCGTACTTTTTCTAGAAAGGTAGTGTTTTCTGCTAAGTTTTTATTTACAAATAAAATAAATTTTATTTGTTTTTAACAAGGACTTTATATGTCATTTTGAGTTTCATCTTTACTTGAATAATGACCCTTCTTGGCCCACTTATAAATAGAGGTATGTCTCACTTCATATAATTTATCACATGTCTAAGATCATCACAGATATCACTTACAAAAGACAAAATGACTGTCCACTTGCTAATGCATATCTTTTGCCTTTATCTCTATCAAATTTTTTTTGTTTTGTCAGGTACATTGTACTGATGGGATTGATCTTTGCATTTTAGTCTTTGAATATAGAGAGAAGGAATCTAAGTATAGTCAGAATACTTAATATTTTTTGCAAGGGAGGAAAAGAAAAATATGCTTATAGTAGGAAACCTTAATATAAAAATTTTGGCAATTTTAAATAAATCATGACCAAAGCTATACACTAGTAGGAAAATATATCCTAAAATGCTATTACTTGGTTTTCAGAAATTTTTAAATAGAGAAAAAACAAAGAATTAAATTTAAACTAAAGAATTTTAAACCTGAGGAAAAATGAAGTGTATAAATAGAAATCTAAGGTCTGGTTATCTCTTAAGGGTAGACAACCAGATTGGTCTGAGGCAGGAAAATCTAAAAGTAGTTTTTGATCAAGAACATGATGCATACCTTTTTTTTTTTTTTTTGAGATGTCTTATTTCCCTTAATGTTTATTTTGGTGCGGGTTTAGTTTTTGCCTTATTTTATTTACTTCACAATTGTTTTCTACTAAAGATTACACATGCTGCATATTTAGATTGTTCCTTCCCCACTACACCTTCAGTCCCTCCACCACCATCACCTCTACCCTGGCTACAGTGCTAAATGTCTTGTATGAATGTGTATTCTACCCTTATAGAAATTTGTATTGAGTACGAGGTTCACAGCTCACATTCCGGTATTACTTCTGCAGTTGGTCACCTCTTTCCTATGTTATAATGCAGTTTATGTACATCATAGCTGTCTGTTTCTTTACAATTTGAAAAAAATTCCACTATCAAGGGGTTTTTTTCTCAACCCTCATTTCTTCTTTGGTTACTAGCTTGCTTATATAGAAATCTTTTGTTAGGTGAATTTTGATAGTTTATATTGATCTAGGAATTAGTTCATTTTCTTGAGTAGATTACATATCACTTAAGAAGTAGACAAAGACAAATATCACATGATCTCTTACATGTGGAATCTAAAAAAGCTGATCTCACAGGAATAGAGAGTAGAGTAGTAGTCACCAGAGACTAGTTGGAGAGATGTTAATCAAAGGACACAAATAATTAGACAGAAAGAATAAGTTCAAGAGCTCTCTTGCAGGCATGGTAACTGTAGTTAAGAATGATGGGGGTTTTTTGTTTGTTGTCTTGGCAGCCCTGGGGTTTGAACTCAGGGCCTCACACTTGCTAGGCAGGCCTTCTTACTGCTTGAGCCATTCTGCCGTCCTTTTTTTGTGATGGGTTTTTTCGAGATAGGGTCTTGTGAACTGTTTGCCCAGGGCTGGCGTTGAACCACAGTCCTCCTAATCTCTGTCTCCTGAGTAGATAGGATTACAGGTGTGAGCCACTGGCGCCTGGCTTAGGATGATGTGTTCTTGAAAAATGTCAGGAGAGTGGATATTGTGTTCTTACCAAAAAAAACGATAACTATGTGAGGTAATTACCCAAATGTAAAACAAAAAAAGTGGAAAAACTAATGGCCAAGAGTTTTCAAAATTTAACAGAATATATAAAATTACTCATTCAAGGCACTCAAAGAACACCAAATAGCAAATATGTGAGGTCAAACCAAGGCACAACATAGTCAACCTGTTGACCATGTTGGGTATCTACAATGGTTCTATGATGGCTAGCTTCTCATTAGAATCTGGGAAGTGTGCAAAAAAGGAAAATACCTTTACAGTGTTGAGAGAAAACAACCATCAACCCAGAATTCCACTTCCAGTGGAAATATTCTTCAAGAATAAAGACATTTACAGACAAAGTAAGACTAAAAGAATTTATTGCCAGAGGACTTGTACTGTAAGAAATGCCGAAGTAAGTTCTTTAGGCTGAAGTAAATAATACAAAGGTATAAACTGAGATTCCCAGAGTGAATTAAAGATTGTTAGAAATAGTAAATATCTGGGTAAATACAAGAAGACTTTGTCTTGTTTTTCCTTTCATTTTTTTTTATAATACATATTACTGTTCAAACAACTTAGCATTGTCTTATGAGCTTAAAACAAATGCAGATATAACATACATAACAATAGCACAAAGGCCTGAAGAGAATAGAGCTAGAGGGTACATAACTTTCTATTTTATAAATTGGTATTATAATAATAACAGTAAGTAGGCTATGAAAATTTAAAGGTAATTATTTGTAATATCTAAAACAGTAGTCCTCATCTGGGGGCAATATTGCCAGGACACATTTGGCAATGTCTGAAGACATTTTTGGATTTCACAACTGGAAGATTCAGGAGACAGAGGCCAAGGATGCTACAGTGTACAGGACAGACACCAAACAAAGAATATCTAGGCTAAAAAGTAGTAGTGTCATTGTTGAGATGCCCTACCCTACAGCACATATACACACAGATAAGAATGATCATACCAAGAAGCATGGGCTTAAAAAAGTAAACTAAACTCTAAAAGTAATTTAAATAATATTTAAAGGAAGCAGGAAAGCCTGAACAAGAAATAAAAGTCAGAGGGACAGATAGAAAACATACACATACCAAAGTGGATGGACGCAGCATAGTCAATACTTGCTGGGGAAATTTGTAACATTAAATTGTAAAAGAAGAAAAACCTAAATGAATGATCAACTTTTTACTCTATGAAATTAAAAGACAAGCTAACTAAACTCAAAGTAAAGATGGGGAATAAAGGGCAGAAAAGTGAACAAAATTATACTGAAGTCAAAGAGTCTAAGAGTCAATCAAGAAAAAAAGAGGATACAAACTAGTAATAAATGAGTGAATTTAATATGGTCTCAGGATACAAGATCAAACTACAAGAAACCAATTGTATTTGTGTATACTGTAAATGAACACTGAAGGATGAAATGTAAGAACTCCAATTATAATCCAAAGATAAAGTATATAGGCATAAGTGTAATTAAAAAATTTTAAGATCTGTTTCTTGAAAACTAATTATCCATATTGATTATTATATTAATTATAAATATTTAAAGCTTGAGATCTAAGTTAACTGACTTACAAATAAGAAATGTTTTTATTCAAAAAAGACAAAATTGAGGTATACAAAGCAATATTTTGTTGGATATTCTACATTTGATATTTTTCATATGACCTTCCTAAAATAACAAACTCACAACTATGTATTTTGAAAGTATTCATTTTGTAAGATTGGCAATATGAATCAGTGTTTTCGTTATAAGGTAATGGATGCATGTTTGGATACACTGAGATTGTTTTAAAGATATGCCACTGTAGATACCTGATAGATGTCCTAAATTTGTTTTGTTCTGGTTTTGTGGAATTTAATAAACAATATTTGTTTTTAGGAAACTCATTGTCTGCAATATTAGAGGGAGAAGCACGGTTAACTTTCCTGAACAGAGGTGAAGATTATGTAATGACCATGCCATATGCTCACTGTAAAGGTAAATATCTTCCTTCCTTATGTCAGCGCATTCTTAATCCTTCTTTGTAAGTGAATGCATGTGGCTGTAATTTGTTGTTTTGAGATGGATGAAATCAGACATATTTTGTTTGAAAGCATCCTTAAGATTTACTGTTTGCTGAATATTTCAGTGATGAATTAATTCACACATAATGGACTTTTTGTCAGAGATACTTTAGTTGGAAGAGACTGAATGGAATTACTTTATTATTTCAGAATGCTTTTAAGTGATCTTGTATTACCACACTTTTTAAAAATTTGATTTGGCATTTTTCAATGTATCAAGTCATTTAAAAATGTTTTTCATACTCACACAGCTAAGATGTGGCAAAGTCAAGATATGAACACAGGCAGTCTATCTTGGGAATCTGAACTTTTCACTACTTTGCATCAGTTTGAACACTCAGTATAGCTGTTGCCTATATCCTCCTTTCCAATACATTTGTTAGAAGTAAGGTTGTTTTTTTGTTTTTGTTTTTTGTTTTTTGGTTTTTTGGTATTTATCCTCTGTTATAGGAACTGACTCATGAAAACATAGGTATTTTTTAAATGGCCTCATTTCACAGATGAGAAACCTGAGAGAGTTAAGAATCTTTTCAGAGGTCAACTCAGCTACTTCAAAAGTGACCAAATTGTGGCTTCAGTCTGGATAATTATAAGAATAAATATTTTTAAATGTTATGTCATTTATTCCATGTAGATACCCATGTCATACCCAAATAACAATTCAGAAAAAAATTTTCACAATGTTTCTCTTCAGTGGATAAAAGAGATTATAACCCACTGTGATGAGTATTTTTGTAAGATTTTCCATGTGTGTTTTCTAATAGTTTCCCATATCACTAGTATTACAAATTGTTTCATAAAATAAAGAGTCCTATGGCCAAATAAATATGAGAAATGTTGCATTGTCTATTCCCCTCTCAGAAATTAACATTGTGCATTTTCATATTAAAGGCTATTAAAAGCTTTTTTAATTATAACATTAATTATATACTGTTAATTCACTGGCATGAACTTACAGCCAATAGCACCATAACTCATGCCTGAATGAGGCTTTTAACACACATAATTTCTCTATAAGTTACATCATAACTTCCTTGTACTTAGGAACTCTGTATAGCACTTTAGCACAATATTTGGGTCCATTTTAAACAGCAAAATCATCAACAAAAAGCACAAAAATGCAAAACACATGGCACTAAATATCCTGTAGAGGGAACACTTTTTTCTATAGTATGGGAATAAAGTAAGGCAGCGTTGCCCAGTTCTACCTCAGCAGGGAACATGTGCACCCTGCATCTCAAACTTCTTTGCCACACCACCCCTGAATACTCCCCACTTTGCATGTCTGTGAATGACTACAAAAGCACTGTGGGTATTGATTTGGAGATTACCAATATGCTATATCTTAGAGTATAGGCAAAGTTACAAATATGAAATCTCCATGTAATGTGAGAACATACTTTATGTCTACATGTAGATTTTTATTGAGAGGTAAAGAATGCCCTTAAACTGTAAGTTTCTGTTAGAAGGAGATTAGATTTTAAAATACTGCTTATTACAGGCCAGTGTTTTTATCTTCAATCTTTTGTCAAAATTTTTTTTCTTTAGGTATTCTTTATGGCACAATGACACTGGAGCTTGGTGGAACAGTCAATATAACATGTCAAAAAACTGGATACAGTGCAATACTTGAATTTAAACTAAAGGTTAGTAGAGAGTGATAGTACATACCACCTGATTAAAGGAGAGCTGGGTTATAAATACTGAACAAAGAACCCAGTTTAATCACTATTTAAGGACTAAATATAAAACACAATTCATGTCAGGTCAAAAAGAAGTGCATCTGAGGGATGAGAGCAAGGCTGAGTAAAAATCTTAAGGTAGCCTAAGATGATGGCCTTGTAAGATACAAATTAACACAAAGCCATCATTTTTGTCTTTAATTTTAATTAATGACACGGTTGGTATTGTATAGGAGATGAGATTTAAGATATGTCAGGCCAGGCATCATGACACATGCCTGTAAATCCCAGCTACTCAAGAGGAGGAGATCAGTAGGATTATAGTTCGAGTTCATTCTGAGCAAAAAGTTATCTCAACAAATAAGCCAGGCATACTTGTACATACCTGTCATCCCAGCTGCATAGGAAACATAAGTGGGAGGATCTTGATCTGAGGCCAGTCCCAGGCAAAAATATGAGACTCTACCTTTAAAAAAAAAACTAAAGAAAGGACTGAGGTCATGGCTCAAGAGGTAGAGCACTTGCCCAGCAAGTGCATGGCCCAGAGTTCAAACCCCAGTCCCACGACTAAAAATATATCTATATGATTACTAAATAGAAATTTCTCACGCATCACTTTACAAAATACCTGAAGATATATATCAACTTGCATTCTATCTAGCTATGTATTGATTACTATTTTGGCATAAGAAATTATTCTAAATTGACAGGCTTTGTTTGCGCTGGTGCTCATGGGGTCTATGAGTGGGAAATTTGGATAGGGCGCATTGGAGTTGGCTTGTCTCTGTTACATAATGTCTGGGATAATTCAACAGTTGGGACTGGAATCATCTAAACATTTTTCACTTATGTGTCTGATGCCTGATAGATCAGAACTATTAATCTGAGCATTGATAAATGGAACCTTTCCATGTCACTTGGCAGTCCATGGTAGTTTAGTGTTGCCAACTGCAAATGTCCCTGTTAGCAAGGCAAAAGCTGCATTTGCCTGCCATGACTTAGTCTCAGAAGGCAAATTGCATCTCTTTAGCTATCTTCTAATTCAAGGGGAAGGATGTCGACCACACTTCTCAGGGGGAGAGTTGCCAGGTTCTATCGAAGAAGAGCATGTGGGCTAAGGAGAGACCTCTTTGGAAAATTATGCCTACCTCAAAGTGAAAGAGAAATTTGAAATTTTACAGTATCAGTTGGATAGTACGTTATGTTCAGATAAAAATATTTCTGTGAACTATAATGATATTTATTGCTAAATTGCTCCCATATTGATATCTAGCTGATTGGCAACCCTGCTGTAATAAAAAGGAGCTCTTAAGTATTATTTGACACAATGCCCTTTGTTTGATTTTTTTTCACCTTAGCAGTTTTTTGCTGGTGTGGTGATTCTGATTTTGAAAAATATGATGAATGTGGTCTTAAACAATTTATAACATCTTTTAAGTATTGGAGCATCACAATTTTGTCTCTAAGGAGAGACATCAGTAAGGTAAAACAACAACCTAAAATGTATTCCTTCTAATTTTATTTTTTGGAGGGACTTTTTGGTTATGTATTTTACTTTATTTTATTGTAAAGGAATGAACATTATTTCTTTCAATAGATTTTTTTTGCTCCAGTTTCATGAGTTGTTGTTTAACATATTTACCACATTGGTAGAGCACAGTCTTGAAAATTAGGAGGGAACACAACACTGAGAAAGCATAGAATGTGATTTTTATCATTGTGATCTTTCTTAATGGTTTTGGGTTTCACAGAATCTGTTTTTACCTATACTTTTCACAGTCTCAATTTGAATTTATTTTTATTAAGAATTCATAACTAAAATTTGAGACAGGATTTCCCTATTTGGGCCGTCAGGAATACTATAACTGTATAATTACTTTTTTGTCGGCTTTTTCTCCTACATTGTATGTAAATATAAGTTAAAAGTGAAATGTTCAACATTTTCTCTTTTAAAAGCCATTTCTAGGGAGTAGTGATTGTGTTAATCAAATATCAGGGAAACTTAAATTGGGAAAAGAAGTCCTCGCTACATTGGAAGGTCATTGGGTAAGTATTTTTTTATACTGCCTTTAAATGTAACTCATGTTAACTCATTTGTACTTAATACAGCCTATGACATGGGTACATAGATACCCATTGTATTTGTTACTGTCCCCATTTTGTAGAGACGGGAACTAAAACACAGTGCGTTTAAATAATTTGCTTAAAGTAAGTGGTGGGCCAAGAATTGCAGCTATGGAACTCTATAACTGCAGAGCTGTGCTTTTATGCACAGCACTTTACTGTCTCTTACCTGGAAGAAAGAAGCATAGTTCCAGTTAAGAGTTATATTTCTTTTAGAGGAACATGGAAAGGATACAGTAGTATATGAGAGCAATGGCTTTAATTTACTTCTCTGCTGATCTAGATTCACATTGTGCAATTTTGTTAAGAGGAACTTAATCAAATAAACATGATCATGGTACTCTTCAGATGCACTTTCACGTGAACACTGAATAAATGCTATGTTCTGCACTATAATAAGCAAAAACTATGAAACTAGATTTAGGGACTTAGAAGTGTGGCAAGTATGTTCTGCAAAATTTTTCAGTTGACTTCTATCTGAATGTCATTTGGAAAAAGAGAAAGCAGATTTTTTAAAAGATAAAATTTCCAGCCACACACTAGTGGTTCACGCCTATAATCCTAACTACTGGGGAGGCTGAGATCAGGAGGATTGTGATTTGAGGCCAGTCCAGGCAAATAGTTACCAAGACCCCATCTCCAAAATAACGGGAGCAAAATGGACTGGGGTTGTGGCTCAAGTGATAGAGTCCTGCTTTGCAAGCTCAAAGCCCTGAGTTTAAACCCTAGTTCCACCAAAAAAACAAAACTGAGATTGTGCTCAAATTTTAATGCTGAGAAAAACCCTTTCAGGTTTTTCTAGATATAGATATTGAGTCCATGAATAGTCAAAAACATCTCATTGTAACTGCAGCAAACACTATTTTTCATTAATGTTTTTACAAAAATGAAAAGAATTTGGGACTTTGGGAAAAAATACTAGTTATATTTATTTTAAAATATATTCAAGTAAGATTCAGTAACAGAACATTTTATCTGTACTATGTAATCCCCTTCTAAATAAAATAGTTCTCTAAATTAGTGTTTAATTTCTTTAAATATAGGATAGTGAAGTTTTTATTAATGACAAAAAGACTGATAATTCAGAGGTTTTCTGGAATCCAACACCTGACATTAAACAATGGAGATTAATAAGACACACTGTAAAATTTGAAGAGCAGGACGATTTTGAATCAGAGAAGTAAGTATAGTATTTTTCAGCTAATTGCATGAAGATGATTATCTTTTAACCCTTTAATAGTGTATCACTCCTCTCTATCATATTTTACTCTGGCTAAACCAAATTGATTTAGTATGTGACAAATCAATTGTTTCTCTGTAGCTCAGGACTAAAGCTTTTTTTTTTTTTCCACTTCTTTTCTCATATGCTCCAGTAGCTTAATTTTTTGTTTCCATAAAACTATAGAACCAGTTAGTGATTCTTAACCTGCCTGACAGCTGTTTTCTAACCTAGGTTAGGCATAGAGAACTCTCAGTGAAGGAAATAGTACAGAATCTACTTTTTTTCCATTCTCTGAAACATGAGAATAGTCATTAGATGCACTGGCTTCCAAAGGACATGTATTAGTTCAGCAACAAATTAATGCCTTCATTTCTGTTCTTAATGTATAAAATTCTTGCTGGATCACTTATACTTCTGGTAATTTTTTTTTTTTTTTGGCAGTACTGGGGTTTGAACTCAGGGCTTCACACTTGCTAGGCAGGTGTTCTACCACTTAAGCCACTCTGCCAGCAGTTACTTACAATTCTGAATAAAAAAAATGTTTGTACTTTGTATCTCTTTTTGTTAGAAGAGTACCTCTATGTAAAAGAAACATTTCTAGGCACTCTGTACTCATTAATCCTTGCTACTTGTTCCACATGTTTGTCATTCTCTTTCATGGTATTCAAGACCACATGTGCTTTTCCTTCTACATTCAAAAGTTAGGTTGTCAAAAATGGAAAATATGTATGCATCAATTCTAAAAATTCCATTTCTGCCATAACACCATGATGTTCTCTCCCCAAAGCTGTTTTTCTAAGACATTCAACAATTTTGGAGGTGTGGATACAATTCAACATATTTAAAAGATGAAGAAATGAGACTTAGAATAGGAAACTTTTGCCAGCCAATAAGTGGCAGATCTGAAATTCAACCCAAGTCTGGCTGATTACAAAGCCGTTTTTGTTCTTTCAGTTTTAACATGTTGCCTTCTTAGACAGATGAGACATAGATGTTATACTTTCATTGAGCTAATGAAAAAACTAAACTTTAATAGAGAAAATTGTTTCCCTCAAAGTCTTTTGTTAAATTAGTGGTTCTAAACACTGTCAACACATTAAAATAATCTAGGAAACATTTAAAAATATTAATATTTGACTTCACTCCTAGAGATTCTGATTTTGAAAATTCTCTGATAATTTAAATATCCATGGTTGAGGAACACTTTTGCACTGAGGCCCATAGATCTTAAACAGTATGTGTAAGAATTGTCTGGGGAGTCCGCTAAAAAGAAAATCTGGATTCTTTTGAACTTCACTATATTCCTTTCACCTTCATTCAGCAGCATTCACTACCATATGTTTAAAAACCCATGTTATAAATTTCTCTTGCCAAAAAGAAATTAGTCTTCATTTATGAACAGGTTTCACTACTCTTGACTCTTTCCTAAGCATATGAGCATAAGCTTTATCAAAGCCAGAGATCCACATGAGCGTTATTTTCTCTCAATAGGATTCCAATCTGTTCTATAGAAATTTGGGTTTTTGTTGTTGTTGTTTTTAAATACTATTTTTGCACATGCATTAGACTCTGGCAGCGAGTAACACGAGCTATAAATGCCAAAGACCAAACAGAAGCAACTCAAGAGAAGTATGTTTTGGAAGAAGCCCAAAGGCAAGCTGCCAGAGATCGGAAAACAAAAAGTGAAGAGTGGGCTTGCAAGTTATTTGAGCTCGATCTACTCACAGGAGAATGGCATTACAAGTTTGCAGAGTAAGTAATTAAAAAGAGTTTATTTCAAATAATATATTAGCTTTTATTTCTAGAATATTTATTGCTAGTCACCATTTATATTAGTGTGAAATTTTAGATGCTTGATGTTCCATTTATTATAAACTCAATTCTATGATAGTAGAGTTAAGAATCAGAAGATTAGATATGGGCAAATCTTAATATTAGAACTATGTTTATAATTCTTAATGAAAATCTAATCATAGGATAGAAACTTTCTAAGTTCTTTCTTTGACCATTAAACATATGTTATCATTTTGTTTTTCATTTATTTAGTACCCGACCATGGGATCCACTTAATGATATGATACAGTTTGAAAAAGATGGGATTATCCAGACCAAAGTGAAACATCGTACTCCAATGGTACGTAATTTTAAAAAAATAGATCTGGTAGGCATATAAATTAGATCTGGTTGGCATATAAATTTGTTATCTATAGTAATCCACTTTTAAAATTTGGTTTCCAAATTTAAAATTCTAGGTAAGCAAAATGGTAGAGTATGCAGCTCCAAGCTTTTGTCACCCACAAAGAAACATTAAAAAACAAGCAATTGCTGTCAGAACAGAAGTTAGCAGAATTCTGGAAAATAGTCAGGAATTTGCAGCAACTAAGGGAATGCTGGATCAAGAAAAGAGTGACTTCAAAGCAGTAGGAAAGCTTTACAGCATTTTACTTGTCCTTTCCCTTCTTCCTCCCCAGTACAGCTGCAATCATATAGAATCTCTGCATTCCCAATGTAAATCCCTGATTCTGTGTATCTGTTCTAACCTGTCAGGGTATTTACTACCTAATGGACTCATGGGGCACTTATCTCTGAGAATATCAATAAACAGAAATTATAAAACAGAACGAAAAAAATTCTAGAGCTGAAAAGTATAGTAGCAAATGCAAAAAATCACTAGAGGAATTCAGCAACAGATTTGAGCAGGCACAAGACAGAATCAGCAAAATTAGTAAAATAATTGAAATTATCCAATCTGAGAAGCAGAAAGAAAAACAAGGAAAAGTGAACAGAGCCTACAGAAACTGTTGGGATACCATCAGTTGGGTCATCGTATGCATTATGGAGTCCACAAAGAGAAGAGAGAGAGAGAAATGGGTGAAGAATATTTGAGGAAAGAAGGTCCCTAAGTTCCCAAATTTAATGAAAGATACGAATCTTTAAATCCAAGAAGTTTAACAATCTCTGGGAAGATATACTCACAGAAACACACTGTTTAAAGTCAAAAAGAGAACCTCAAAAACAGTAAGAAGCAACTCATCAAATATAATTAACAGATAAGATGATCTTTTAAATTTTTTTTAAAATCCTACAGTCCACAAGAAGGCTACTAGTTCTAATGAGCAAATTCAGCAAAGTTGCAGGACTTAAGATCACACAAATACTAGTGTGAAAAATCACCAAAGGAAATTAATGAAGCAACTGAATTTACATTAACATCTAAAAGAATAAGATACCTAAGATACCTGGGAATAAGGTGAGTCAAGGATGTGACCTACTTTACAGTGAAAACAGTATAAAACATTGCTAAAGAAAATGAAGAAGGCCTAAATAAATGGAAAGATATCCCATTTTCTTAAGTAGGAACTGTTAATATTCAGTCCTACCCAAAGCACACTATAGATTTCAGCACAAACCATATCAGTGTTCCAACAGTTTCCAGTTTTTGCAAAAATGGAAAAGCTGATTCTCAAATTTATATGGAATTGCAAGATGCCCTAAAAGCCAAACAATCTTTAAAAAAAGAACAAAGTTGATGACTCACACTCTCCAATTTCAGAATTTACGACAAAGCTACAGTAATCAAAATGATGGTATTAGGACAGGAATGGCATACGTGCCAATGGGATAAAATTGAGTTTATTAGTAAACCCATAAAGTTGATTTTTATCAGTGATGCCAAGTCCACATAATGGGGAAGAATAGTTTCTTAAACAAATGGTGGTTGGGATAGCCAGATTTTTACATGCAGCAACACAAGGTTGGACTACCTACTTAACACTTTAAAAAAAGCTCAAAATGGATCTAAAATGAGAACTAAAACCATAAAACTCTTAAAAGAAAATAAGGGTAGATCTTCATGACCTTGTATTTGACAATGGATTCTTAGATAATCACACTAAAAGCACAACTAACAATAACAACAAGAAAAAATAGTTATATTTCATTGAAATTAAACACTTTTGGCATCAAAGAGCATTATGAAGAAAATACAGAATGAGAGAAAATATTACTAATCATTTATCTAATAAAAATATCCAAAGTATGTGAATAAGTCCTAACTTAACAAAAAGCCCAAAAGACAGGCCAAAGGACTTGATCAGACATTTCTCCAAAGAAGATATACAAATGACCAGAAAACACATGAAAGATGTTTAACATTATGACTTATGAGGAAAATGCAAATCAGAACCTCAATTAGGGGTTGGAGGTGTGACTCAAGTGGTAAAGTGTTTGCCTAGCCAGAACAAGGCCCTGAACGAAGCCCAGTAGAACCCAAAAAAAAAAAAAAAGACACATACACAATTAGGTACTTCACACTTACCTATGAAGTTAATAATTTTAAAAGTGGAAAATAACAAGTGCTGGTAAGGATCTGGAAAAATTAGAATCCTTGCACATAGCTGTTGAGAGTGTACAATGTTGCAGCCACTGTGGAAAAGTTTAAAAATTCCTCAAAGGCTATAAACAGAATTACCATATGAGCCAGCAATTCTAAACCAAAAGAATTGAAGACAGGGACTAAAAATACTACTAAAGACCCACCTCCCACATGAACTGTAAATATAAACACACAGGCCTGAGAAAGCGGGTGCAGTGTCACCTTTCCCAGTGCTTGGAAAGGGGAAAGCTTGTAGCAGAGGCTCATGCACAGGAGAAATCTGAGCAAATAAACCTGCAGGGCCAGGTGAGTGCTAAGCTTACCCCTGACATCTGCATAAATAACACCTCCAGCAAGGGCAGGCTGACAGCAGCAGGCAGGCAAGACACAGTTGCAGATACCATTCTCAGAACTGTCTCCAGACTCTTTTTTTTTTTCTACCTTTGATGAGAGAACAACCGAATTACACCTGCAAGCTGAAAAAGTTACTGAAACTATATTGCTTTGAACTTGGGACACTTGGTGGGGTTTTTGTGTGTGTGTGTGTGTGTGTGTGTGTGTGTTAGTTTTATGTGTCCCCTTTGATGAGACGACTACAGAACAACATCTGACACACCGTCTACAGGACTGGAGACTGAGATGGACACCCACATTATTAAGACTGAAACTTCATTGCATTTGAACTTGGAGGTTTTTTGTTTTTTGGGGTTTTTTTAATTTTTTATTTTTTCATTTTATTTTAATAAATTTTTATAAATAGATTTTTCTTTCATTTACTTTTTTCATCTTTTTTTGATTTTCTTTTTTACAAATTGATTACTTATTTTATTACTTTACACAAATTTATATTTATATACATCCATATATTTCATAAATCTGTGGATTATGTTAAGAATCTAAGGAAGCACAGAGAAAAATCAACATACACAAGATTGTAAAAAAGGGAAATATCTTAGCTACTAACTTGAATTCACAAATATTTGGTTTAGTACATTAATCTAATGTCACTTGATAGATTTATGTCAGAGGAACTTCATGAATCTGCCTTAAGAAAAAAATAGAAAGATAAAAGCACTTACAGCATTTTCCCTTTGAAAGACAATTCACTGATGTGTGTTCTTTCTAAATAATATAGAAGCAATTATTATTCAGTCCTGCTAAATTATATAACTCAAATCATTCCTTTCGTAATATTTTGAAGTTGAAAGGAAGTTTAAGAATATGGTATTCAACATCTTTCTTTTTTTGATCTCTTGCATTATACAAATTTTTTTTTCTTTTATTATTCATATGTGCATACAAGGCTTGGTTCATTTCTCCCCCCTGCCCCCACCCCCTCCCTTACCACCCACTCCACCCCCTCCCTCTCCCCCCCCCAATACCCAGCAGAAACTATTTTGCCCTTATTTCTAATTTTGTTGTAGAGAGAGTATAAGCAATAATAGGAAGGAACAAGGGTTTTTGCTGGTTGAGATAAGGATAGCTATACAGGGCATTGACTCACATTGATTTCCTGTGCGTGGGTGTTACCTTCTAGGTAATTCTTTTTGATCTAACCTTTTCTCTAGTACCTGATCCCCTTTTCCTATTGGCCTCAGTTGCTTTAAGGTATCTGCTTTAGTTTCTCTGCGTTAAGAGCAACAAATGCTAATTTGTTAGGTGTCTTACCTATCCTCACCCCTCCCTTCTGTGCTAAAGCTTTTATCTCTGTCTCTCTAATGTCTGTTCAGCTTACTGTCGATTAGTACACTAAAGCTCCCTGTTTATACCTTTGAAGCCTTGTCTGATACCAAATTCCATTTTCTCGCTCCAGTCTGTGTATTTGTTTTTCCCATTTCCTTAACTTCTTGCTTTCCATCTCAGCTCACCCTTCCATTCTAAATATTACCATTGTTATTATTACAAGCTAGAAAATACTTAATTGCACACAGTACAGGGACAGTAACAACACCAAGGACAATGACGGGAAGACAGAAAAAACAGGGAAACCAGTTTCCCCACAGCAAAAACTTAGTACAGGAACCAGAGGGGATGAAGAGAACAGAAACTCAGATCTAGACTCCAACAAAATGAAGATAAACTATGCCAAAGGACCCAATGAAGACCACAAGAATAATTTAAAAGAAGACATACTACAAGTACTCAATGAGAATTTTATAGAGATGATACTGGATAGGGTCAACCAAAATGTACAGGAGACACTCAAGAAATTCCAAGACAACAAAAATAGAGAATTTGAAAAAGCAAAAGAAGAAATAAAGGAAACCATAGAAGCACTGTATAAACACCAAAGTGAAAGAACACGATGAATAAATGGATAAATGAACTCAGGACAAAAATAGACAACATTAAAGAGGAAAACAGTCAGGATATGGAAAACCTCAGAAAAAAGAACGAAACAGAACTGCAAAACAAAACGGAAGGCCAATCCAGCAGAATAGAACAAACAGAAGACAGAATCTCAGAACTTGAAGATGAAATGGTAATTAAAGGAAAAACCGAAGAACTATTAATTAAACAACTCAAGACCTGTGAAAAGAAAATGCAAGAACTCACTGACTCCATCAAAAGACCAAACTTGAGAATCATGGGCATCGAAGAAGGAGAAGAGGTGCAAGTGAAGGGAATGCGTAATATATTCAACAAAATAATAACGGAAAATTTCCCAAATCTAGAGAAAGATATTCCCATACAGATGCAAGAGGCCTCCAGGACACCAAACAGACCAGATCAAAATAGAACTACCCCACGACATATCA